TTTATTTCAGCTTTTATTTCTTTCATCACATTCCCAGTGGGTCAGAAGTTTACATACACTCAATTAGTATTTGGTAGCATTGCCTTTAAATTGTTTAACTTGGGTCAAACGTTTCGGGTAGCCTTCCACAAGCTTCCCACAATAAGTTGGGTAAATTTTGGCCCATTCCTCCTGACAGAGCTGGTGTAACTGAGTCAGGTTTGTAGGCCTCCTTGCTCGCACACGCTTTTTCAGTTCTGCCCACAAATGTTCTATAGGATTGAGGTCAGGGCTTTGTGATGGCCACTCCAATACCTTGACTTTGTTGTTCTTAAGCCATTTTGCCACAACTTTGGAAGTATGCTTGGGGTCATTGTCCATTTGGAAGACCTATTTGCGACCAAGCTTTAACTTCCTGACTGATGTCTTGAGATGTTGCTTCAATATATCCACATAATTTTCCTTCCTCATGATGCCATCTATTTTGTGAAGTGCACCAGTCCCTCCTGCAGCAAAGCACCCCCACAGCATGATGCTGCACCCCCGTGCTTCATGGTTGGGATGGTGTTCTTCGGCTTGCAAGCATCCCCCTTTTTCCTCCAAACATAACAATGGTCATTATTGCCAAACAGTTCTATTTTTGTTTCATCAGACCAGAGGACATTTCTCCAAAAAGTACGATCTTTGTCCCCATGTGCAGTTGCAAACCGTAATCGGTCTTTTTTATGGCAGTTTTGGAGCAGTGGCTTCTTCCTTGCTGAGCGGCCTTTCAGGTTATGTCGATACAGGACTAGTTTTACTGTGGATATAGATACTTTTGTACCTATTTCCTCCAGCATCTTCACAAGGTCCTTTGCTGTTGTTCTGGGATTGATTTGCACTTTTCGCACCAAAGTACGTTCATCTCTAGGAGACAGAACGCATCTCCTTCCTGAGCGGTATGACGGCTGCGTGGTCCCTTGGTGTTTATACTTGCGTACTATTGTTTGTACAGATGAACGTGGTACCTTCAGGCGTTTGGAAATTGCTCCCAAGGATGAACCAGACTTGTGGAGGTCTACAATTATTTTTCTGATGTCTTGGCTGATTTCTTTTGATTTTCCCATGATGTCAAGCAAAGAGGCACTGAGTTTGAAGGTAGGCCTTGAAATACATCCACAGATACACCTCCAATTGACTCAAATGATGTCAATTAGCCTATCAGAAGCTTCTAAAGCCATGACATCATTTTCTGGAATTTTCCAAGCTGTTTAAAGGCACAGTCAACTTAGTGTATGTAAACTTCTGACCCACTGGAATTGTGATACAGTATTATAAGTGAAATAATCTGTCTGTAAACAATTGTTGGAAAAATTACTTGTGTCATGCACAAAGTAGATGTCCTAACCGACTTGCCAAAACTATAGTTTGTTAAGAAGAAATTTGTGGAGTGGTTGAAAAACGAGTTTTAATGACTCCAACCTAAGTGTATGTAAACTTCCGACATCAACTGTATGTCCATTTCTTAAATAGCTGTGTGGTGTTTTTTTATTTTATTAATTTCAAACTGCGTTAGAGCTGACAATGTAACAACAGTCCGTCTCTGCTGGTTTGTCATGATGTGTTTTCCTGTTGGACCAGACTCTGCTTTATTACATCCTTAATATGCAAAGCAGTGTGGATCCAGCCTGGATCCAGGGAAGACAGAGTTAGAATGGATCACCCACAATGTGTTGACTTAGCCAGGGGCTGGCTGGGCTGGGCCAGGGAGAGAGCAGGGAAGTGTGTGTGTGTGTGTGTGTGTGTGTGTGTGTGTGTGTGTGTGTGTTTGTGTGCACCACTCCAGTCTCCCTGTGTCCACTAAACAGTGTCAGTGTCTGAGACAGAGCAGTAACAGAATAGTGTATCAGTTCTGTTCTGTGTCTTTGTGACCAGAGCTCTCAGCTGCTTTATAGCTCTCAGCTCTCAGTGTTTCTGTGACAAAGCACTCTGTCTGCTAGCCTAATGTCAGCCCCAGCACAATACCTCTCATCATACAACTACAGCCCAGCCCCAGCACAATACCTCTCATCATACAACTACAGCCCAGCCCCAGCACCATACCACTCATCATACAACTACAGCCCAGCCCCAGCACAATACCTCTCATCATACAACTACAGCCCAGCCCCAGCACAATACCTCTCATCATACAACTACAGCCCAGCGCCAGCACAATACCGCTCATCATACAACATTAATCATTCTAATCATTCATCTCCTGCTTCCTTTGGGAGATATTGACCAGTGAGGGCTGGATCATCTCCTGCTTCCCATGGGAGATATTAACCAGTGAAGGCTGGATTGAGAAGAAGGGATTGAGAAACATTTGTGCAACTACAACCTTCCCACAACTGTACCATTGGCTTCAATACATGATTCAAGATTTACCCAAAATGTTTAGTTAAGTTTCTCACGTTAGGGTTTGGCAGAGTCTGACTGTTACAGAGGTTATCTCGCTCTCTCTCTCTATCTCTCTCTCTCTGCTCCACTGCAGTTATTCTCTCTCACTCTCTCTCTCTCCCTCTCTCTCTCTCTGCTCCACTGCAGTTCTATCTCTCTGACATTGAGATATTGGCATCAATTGTTTGATGTGACAAATAGCTGTGGCTCAAAGAGCTCAGCATTTAATCTGAATGTCTGTGAAGCTGCTACACACACATCAAAGCAGGACCACTGACTGTCTGTTGCTCTGTGTCTGTCTGACTCTCTTTTACTCTGTGTCTGTCTGCCTGTCTGTTGCTCTGTGTCTGTCTGCCTGTCTGTTGCTCTGTGTCTGTGTGATGAGGTGATTTGAAGGAGTCAGGCGCAGGAGGGTAAATCACAGAATAACAGGATTTATTCTGGAATACAGAGTTACGCAATAAAGCGTCAAAACAGTCCAGTGCGCAAAACAGGCGCACTGAAACCAAGAAGGCACACGGGAAAATAACCTGGTGATACAAAATACAAGGAGCTCCACCGAGCTTCACTAATCTCACAATATACAATCACACACAAAGACAAGGGGGCAGAGGGAACACTTATACAGGTACTGATGAGGGGATATGAACCAGGTGTGTGTAATAAACAAGACAAAACAAATGGAATGATGAGATATGGAGCGGCAGTGGCTAGAAGGCTGGTGACAACGAACGCCGAAGCCTGCCCGAACAAGGAGAGGAGGCAGCCTCGGAGGAAGTCGTGACAGTACATACAATTATCTAAAATGCTTTTAGCATTGAGGATGTACTTAGTAACAGACTTTACTGCAGTTGTTTCATAAAATATTTCTGCCTAACATAATTGACCTGAGCTGCTCTCTGAACTGGTGTTAAAGAGTCTAGTTGTCTGGTTTCTCAGCAGCCGAGCAGTAAATCTCCATGACACATCTTCACACAGTGTGCAACGATGTTACAAACACTGCCAGTTACAGATGCATGGGCTAAAACCACAGCACTGGTGTTTCTCAACCACACACACACACAGCCGAATATATTGATACAAGTCACCTTGTCCAAGAGACATTTACATGTCTATCAAAATGTCATGCCAGGGTAGGCCTACACGAAACACAGCCCTTATGTTAAGTGTTTCTAAAATCCCCCTATGGGGAAAAATGAATGGTGGAAAAACAATTGGAACCATTTCCCTGTTTGACAGCTAGGTTTTATGGGTATTATGACACCTCCACTGTGGGGCTCTATAGGATCCTTAATGATGCTTGGTCATCTGTGATCATTAACTCTGAGGGAGGTGAACCAGAAGAGAGAGAGTCTTTGATAAACACAACGTCACTGTTGTCTGGGTCTGGCTGACACACAGACAGATGTTGCTCTGGCAACCGCTCGCTCGCTATCACAACTGTGTTTTATTAACACATTAGTCCTGTGTTGGACCTGACAGCTTTTGTTTTGCTACGATATATAATATACACTATCTGATATTCTTCATGTTTAATGAGCCAGTAAATTGGAAAATGAATTGTTATGCCCCTTTTCAAAAGAAAAACACTATATTATTGTAGCTTTCTACACCCGTAATAAAACATCAAACGTGTGCATGTTTAAAAAAATGGGTTGAACAACTTGTTATTTGAATAGTAAATAAATCACATGAACTTTATATCTGAGTATCCCGTGAGATATCTAAATTATGTTGTTAATCTCAGCGGTGCTCCATGGCCGTAAAGCAAACCAACAAGCTAAATCCTTTTTTTTGTCCTCTCCCACAGAGAGTGAGAGAGAGAGTTGAGGCGTAGGTCTGAAGACTGAGGCTGGGGCAGAGGTTGGGGCTGAGGATGGGGCTGTGGTGTAGCGTGCAAAGCGCAGGAGAGTAGGTAGTTTTCTCAATCCCGGGGGAGCATGCCTAGTCTGCCTCCCATATGTGGCATGGCATGAAGCTGTGGTTTAGTAATGGCCACCCAGAGAAGAGAGAGGAGGGCCTGCCTGGATACATCCAGTAAAGCCAGAGACCAACCTAACCGCAGACTGATTAACCACTAAGACCTCCTTCCTGTTAGATTAATGAAGATGAATACTGAGATCAGGAGAGGAACGCTTGAGTGGGATTGGCTAGTAGGTCTCATACCTACTATCTGTCCTGACTGAGACTCTCTGATAGGTCTACTGTGATGGTCCTTGTCATGTGATTACTACATCATTATATATATTTAGATACTGTGGTAGTCTCTTATATCAGTACTGTGATTGTTAGGTATATATTGTGGGTATTGAGATATTTGACAGTCTTCTGTAGTATTTAGATATTTGTCCTGTGATTGTTAAGTTTATTGGTACAGTATGTCCTCTGTGATTGTTGCTCAAAGGGTATATACAGTCCCCCAGTGAAAGTCTACACACCAAAAATCCCTTTTTAGATTTAATTTTAAGGCAGCAAAATGTGAAAACTGTGCAAGGAGTGTGTAGACTTTCACTAGGCACTGTATACTATAGTAATTTATAGTAATTTATATATCTGCCCCGTCTCCTGTAGGTATCCTGGAGGTCCGTACGGTGTCCGAGGGAGGAGTGTTAGCTATCAAAGGAGTGAAGAGCCAGTACTATATCTCCATGAACAGGACAGGCCTGCTGCAAGGCAAGGTAATGAACTAAACTAGCATCTCTCTGCTGGACAGGGTTGGAATGCACTGTACTGTACAGTGCCTTGTGTTCTAGGTTATTATCTTGCTGAAAGATGAATTAATCTCCCAGTGTCTGGTGGAAATCAGACTGAACCAGGTTTTCCTCTAGGACTTTGCCTGTGCTTAGCTCCATTCCATTTCCCTTTTATCTTGAAAAACTCCCCAGTCCTTAACGATTACAAGCATACCCATAACATGATGCAGCCACCACTATGGTTGAAAATATGTAGAGTGGTACTCAGTAGTGTGTTGTATTGGACTTGCCCCAAATATAACCATTTATATTCAGGACAAAAAGTTGATTGCTTTGCCACACTTTTTTGTAGTATTACTTTAGTGCCTTGTTGCAAACAGGATGCATGTTTTGGAATATGTTTTATTCTGTACAGGCTTCCTTCTTTTCATTCTGTCAATTATGTTAGTATTGTGGAGTAACTACAATGTTGTTGATCCATCCTCCGTTTTCTTCCTCCGTTTTCTTCTATCACAGCCATTCAACTCTGCAACTGAGTTAGGAAGGACACCTGTATCTTTGTAACGACGAAGTGTAATTAATAACTTCACCATACTCAAAGGGATATTCAATGTCTGCTTTTTGTTTTTACCCACCAATAGGTGCCCTTTTTTGCAAGACATTGGAAAACCTCCCTGGTCTTTGTGGTTGAATCTGTTTTTGAAATTCACTCTTCGACTGAGGGACTTTACAGATAATTGTCTGTGTGGAGTACAGAGATGAGTTAGTCATTCAAAAACCAAGTTAAACACTATTATTGCACACAGAGTGAGTCCATGCAACTTATTATGTGACTTGTTAAGCAAATATTTACTCTTGAACTTGTTTAGGCTTGCCATAACAAAGGGGTTGAATACTTATTGATTCAAGACATTTCAGCTTTTCATTTTTAATAAATTTTTTATTCAAACACATTTTTTTTAAACACAATTACACTTTGACATTATGGGGTATTATTGTGTGTAGGCCAGTGACAAAACATCTCAATTTAATCCATTTTAAATTCAGCCTGTAACCCAACAACATGTGGAAAAGGTAAAGCGGTGTGAATACTTTCTGAAGGCACTGTATGTCTGACACATTTGGAGAAGATACCAATTGTTTTTGAATAAAGTATTAACCAGTTATTGTTATTCTACATTTACATTTAGTCATTTAGTAGACACTCTTATCCAGAGCGCCTTACATTCATCTTAAAATAGCTAGGTGAGACTACCACACCTCAGTCATAGTAAGTACATTTTTCCTCAATAAAGTAACTATCGGCAAAGTCAGTGTTAATTCATGAAAGGCAACTGTGTTTTTTGGGGGGGTTTTGCACTATGATTTCATATTTTATTCTAGCACCTCCAACACTTTTTAACAAGGTTTTACTTAAGAGTGGCAAGAGTGTCAACTAAATGACTGAAATATAAATAGGAGAAATATAACCAAGTAAAAAAGCCAGAAGATGTTTATAACCCTCCTCACGCCTAATATCGTCCCATTTTGTGTCCTCATGTATTTACAGAAAATCTACAATGAGAACTGCAACTTCAAGGAGGTTTTCCTAGAAAACTACTTCAACGCGTACTCGTCTACTAAGTGGACTAGAAACGGCAAGGAGATGTTCATTGCTCTGTCTCAAAAGGGCAGGCCGCTGAGAGGGAAGAAGACCAGGAGGGAACACATCGCCTCCCACTTCATCCCCATGAAATGTAGAGAGGAGGAGAGGACTGGCGTCTGAGAGAAGGAGAGGACCCGACTGAAAAAGGAAGGGGTGACTGGAGCCTGAGAGGAAGAGAGGACTGAAAGAGGAGAGGACTGAAAGAGAGGGAGGAGACTGAAAGAGAAGGAGAGTACTGAAAGAGGAGGAGAGGACTGAAAGAGAAGGAGAGGACTGAAAGAGGAGAGGAGGAGAGGACTGAAAGAGGAGGAGAGGAGGAGAGGACTGAAAGAGGAGGAGAGGACTGAAAGAGGAGAGGAGGAGAGAAATGGGGCCTTAAAGGAGGAGAAGAGGAGGAGAGGATGGGCCTGAGAGCTGAGAGGACAGAGAGCAGAGAGGACAGAAAGAGGAGGAAAGAAGGATAGGAGAGAGGACTGAGAGAGCAGAGAGGACAGAAAGAGGAGGAAAGAAGGATAGGAGAGAGGACTGAGAGTGCAGAAAAGACTGAGAACAGAAAAGACTGAAGCTGTGACGTCCGGATGACCCATGTTGGGGTTCTTGGACGTTGTGACAGCTTAGCTGCAGATCTTTGATGTATAATTTAATATAATCTAACTCCAGTCAGTACAGTATACCACTTCAGTCACGTCATATTAGCTGGTACAATGTAAATAAGTTCTGTAGCTACTTATCCATTCATGTGTCAAAGTTTTTATTGTAAAACTGATGCACGGTCCTCCTCAGTTGTGTGCATGTTAAAGGTCCAATGCAGCTGTTCTGAGTAACAATTAAGTACCTTACTCTGATCGATTTAAATACAAATGGTCAAAAATAAACAAAAATAGCTTCTTAGCAAAGAGCAATTTCTCAAGCAAGAATTTAGCTAGGACTGTCTGGGAGTGGTCTGAGTGGGGAGGGGAAAACTAGCTGTTATTGGCAGAGAGATTTGAAACTCTCTTTCTTATTGGTGATGTCACCAGGCAGGCCAAAACTCCATCCCACCAAGACAGGCTGAAATTTCATGCAGTCTTCTCAAACAGCTCTTACACTAAAAGGGCATTATCATAATTTTCTAAATTTCACAGTATTACTCCAACCTCATTGTGTGGAAATATATATAAAAAACAGGAAAATCACGTTTTGACTGCACTGTGCCTTTAAGCTTTTACAATGATTTTTTCAGTTTGCAATTACGTTAGTACCTTTTTGTAACAAGGATTTCTACACCATTATGATGGCACTACAACTACCTGTTTATCTCATATTTCTTCACAGAATGGATTGTGGTCAATAATACTAACAATAACCTTGATATGGATGAAGTCAAGCACTCTGTTTCAGCATGCATAACAGTTGTTTTGGGATAAACACAATACAGGGAAAGGAATTAGAAAAGGGATGTTTGAGAACATTTATAATAAAACTGTTCCTACTGACTGAATTCTCCAGGCAATGTCAAAATGTAATGTTAAAGTAAGCTGATCAGTCACTTACTTTACTCAAGAAAAGTATTATTATTGATAATAGTTGTACTATTATACTCATTTTAGTTCCCTTATTATAATGGGTAATAGTGTAATGAATATAGGAGTAGTAATAAAATAGAGTTGGTATTTACCTGGAATTTACTAAAACAAACAGCTGGTTATAATTTGTATTAAAAACTGGGTTGTTCGAATGCTGATTGTCTGACAGCCGTGGTATATCAGACCGTAAACCACGGGTATGACAAAATATATTTTTTTACTGCTCTAATTCCGTTGGTAACCAGTTTATAAGAGCAATAAGGCACCTCGGGGGTTTGTGGTATATGGCCAATATACCTTGGCTGAGGGCTGTATCCAGGAACTCTGCGTTGCGTCGTGCTTAAGAACAGCCCTTAGCTGTGGTATATTGGCCATATACCACACCCCCTGGGGCCTTATTGCTTAATTATAGCTTACTTAATCAATCAATGAAATTGAAAACGATGCGATATCAAATGGTACCTATTGTAGTGCTACTTGTTTCACTTAGTCCCAAATATTCTAAGAGCTAGTTACTGAGTAATAATAATTTGTTTCCATGTTATGTTTAAGTAAATAACAGGTAGAAAGCAGGCTGTAAAATAAAGTGTAACTAAACGTAGTATAATAAGCAAACAGTACCACTGTTGGACGTTGGATCAATGTAAAGACAGTCAGCAAGCTGGACTTGCCTTTTCACTATACAAGTGTTCAAAACACACCATATATATACACAATATATTGATAAATATATATGTACAAACTAAAATACATATGTAATTACATGCGACAGCTGCTCATTGACTCCCTATTAATTTACTAAGGTTTGATAATGATTGTGTCCCAAATGGCACTGTATTTCCTACATGGGGCAATTATATAAAATCATGTACTTTGTGGGATAAATAAAGTATTTCTCTTTGGTCAAAAGTAGTGCACTATGTAGGGAATAGGCTGCCATTTGGGACACAGATTTAACAATGCAAGAATGTAATGCTGCTGCTGCTGCTGATGATGATGAGGATGATGATGATGACGATGATGAAGTTAGGAATGATATCTGGATTAAAGTACAGAGAGACCAGAACATACAGCTTGTTAAATGTGTATGCTATACTGTATGCCTTGATCTTCCTCCACTATAATTAATTAATTAATGATTATATAAATTGTTAGCGTTGATCTCTGTTATGTCCCTGATGTGATAAATGGTATTTATTTGAACTTTGAGATGAGGGGGCTGTGTCCCAACTAGCACCCTATTCCCTATATAGTGCACTACTTTTGACCGGAGCCCTATGGGCCCTGGTTAAAAGTAGTGCACTACACAGACAATAGGGTGCCATTTGGGACGTAGACAGGCTTTTTTTCTGTTGAGACATTCCATGTTCTGCCAGATACCATAATGCTTTACTAAGATATTGTTGGTCTCACTAACGAATTTAAGTTAACTGTAGCAACATACCAGAGGCTTCATTTAAATCACTTCATTCCTTTCATCTCTTCTGTTTTTGGATGTTCCTGAAGCACATCACATATACCGTACTCGTCATCTCATTACCATTAAATAACCTTTTAACAACCTTTTAAAGACGTTCACTCTGTCTGCACAGTTACAACTAAACTGCAAAATCTCCATACTGGCCTATAACGTTTGTGTTATTATCCATTGTTGTAAGTTATTATTTGTGTTATTTATATAAAAACCAAAGATTAGTTATTATGGGGTGTTTGGAGTGTAAATTATTTATTTTCTAAGATGTGTTTTGCCACGTCATCTTTGGGGACATAAACCATGCCCTCACTCTGCCACTACCCGTAAGCCTCGCTGGCCAGGAGTCTGAGCAGAGGGTTCGGTTGGAACCAGAGAATCAACAACCTATCAGCTGCCAACAACACATTAGAGGAACGGCAAAATACAAGACATTCTAGGAATAACTGAACGGCAAAATGCAAGACATTCTAGGAATAACTGAACGGCAAAATGCAAGACATTCTAGGAATAACTGAACGGCAAAATGCAAGACATTCTAGGAATAACTGAACGGCAAAATGCAAGACATTCTAGGAATAACTGAACGGCAAAATGCAAGACATTCTAGGAATAACTCGGCAGGAATATCAAAAGGATCCGCTGTGCTGCTGTAATATGGATAATCAACCAGCCTATATCTGACAACTTAAGTGTTTTGTATTTTAAACACAGACACTGATATACAGAATGTCATTGGGTTCCACAATCATAGAGGTGTTCAGGAAAAACATAACACATTTGAATAAACAAATAAACTCCTGTAAAGTTTAAACTTAACAACATGACACTCAACTAAAAAGTTTAGTTGAATTGACTTGAACTGTTAGTCATTGAGTTTCATCATATCTTTGTTATCTATACTCTCAATTAATTCAACTAAATTACTTAATAACCACTTTAATATTTAGAATATAAAGCAGTTTGTTACATCCAACCAAATGTATGTTATCATGTTACTATAACCGAGATGCTAATGACCCTGTTAGAAATCCGGAATATGGTTCTCGGTAAAGACGGAACAGATCAAGATGAGAGGTGGGGAGTGTGTTATGTACCTCCATCGAAGTTGATTTGCGAAGTTTCATCAAAATTGGTGTCATATTGCCTTAGATGTGCTGGTAGGAAATTTTGATTTTAACATTGAGCATTAATCAATGCCTCGGGTACCATAACAATGTTTTATACGTTATATGTTATATAATGTATAATATAACAACAGTATATTATTGGATTGTGGGTTTACCGGTTAAACCACAACAAAAGACAAGTATCCATGCCTGGTGATCCTCTAAGATCTTCTAGGATCTCTAAAGATCTTTTCAGGATGTGAGCTTGGCTAGGATCTCAAAAACATATTCAGAGATTGTGAGTTAAGACCCCTACAGAGCCATATATAATTCTAACACCATCCATTAGTCTCTTAATACTGCCGGCCTAAAACAAAATCCTGCAGTTTATCACAGTATAAAGGTCTGCTGCAGGTCTGGGTCCTTCAGACTGCTGATGTTAATAAAACGCTCTCTCACTGCGTTGGAGTTCTCTCCAGAGATGTTAACCAGACTAGTTCCCAGCTTATATGACTAAAGGACTAGATAATCAAATCTGCTGTCCTTTGTCCCAACAAGATTAAATACACATCGGGAAGATAAATCTGGAAAAAGTTTCATTTAGATAAGGGTCCAGCAGTGAGATGCATGAGACAAATGAATTACATTATTCCCTGTCTGATAAAGTACACCAGAATAACACAAGTCCTGGATACATCTCTTAATTTGATGCAGGGGCAGATAAAAATATGTCAACACACGGACTGAATGTTGTAATAATTTGCTCATAACTTTATATTGTATTGAGTGAAATCTGAGCGCTGTCAGATTGAGGGTAGAGCATATTGGCAGTTGGCCACACACACACACCATACACCAACACTGTACACACCATACACAAACACTGTACACGCACACCACAGGAGGTCAGTGGCACCTTAATTGGGGAGGACGGGCTCATGGTATTGGCTGGAGCGGAATGAGTGGAATGGTATC